GTCCGTTAAAGTGAAAGTTTCTTGTTTCCTATAAAATAGAAGTTCTTCTATTGTAATAATATTGTACATCATGCGTCTTTTATTGTTGTGATTTGGAGAATTGATTGAAGCAAATTGTGAGTTGTTGGATGAATTACAGTTTAACTTCCGGAACCAATAATTATACCAGAATCCATTGTATTTCTAGATTGTCAGTGGAATCTTGATATGTCAATTGAAGGAAGTTTCATTAAATTATTAACATGGTTATATTTATTTGCAAGGTATTTGAAGTAGATCAAGATGTTAGAGCAGTTGTTGATATTCACTAGGGGTGGTTTAATTCTATGGACTTGTAAGGAGCTTGGAAATGCACTTAAAGGGTCTCCTATTGACACTTTAATCAGATCCTGTCTCTTAGAGGAGCGATCTGGTGCTGCATCTTATAATTATGATGCTCCAGGTGCTGCTTACACCCTCAAGTGGACCTTCCACAATGAACTTGGCCTTGTATTTGTTGCGGTGTATCAACGGATCCTTCATTTATTGTATGTGGATGATTTGCTTGCAATGGTGAAGCAGGGGTTTTCTGAGATTTATGATCCAAAGCGGATGGTCTATGATGATTTTGATGAAACTTTTAGGCAACTTAGAATGGAGGCTGAGGCTCGTGCTAGTGAGTTGAAAAGGTCAAAGCAGGTGGCGATGAAGCCAGTGAACAATGCCAGGAAGCAAGGGCAGGATCAAAAAACTGGATTTGGAGAAAACAAGAAAAGCAACAGTGGTTTGGCAGATGTTGGTGATGCTGAGCGTACAAAAAGTCATCAGTTGGAGAATGGTTACTCCAATGGCAATCGTGTTATAGAATCTAAACTAACCGCTGTTGTTAATGGAAAAGAAAATGCAAGTTCCAATGTTGGGGCTTTTGATGTAAATAAACTTCAGAAGCTTAGGTCTAAAGGTGGGAAGAAAACTGATACTGTTGTTAATAAGGGCTCCAAGGAAGAGTCAAAGAAAAAGGTAACAAAGAAGAATAGAGTTTGGGATGATAAACCTGTTGAGGCAAAATTGGACTTCACAGATCCTGTGGGTGAGAATGGGGAGAACAATATTGAGGTTTTGGCAGCAGACCAGGGGCAAAGTATGATGGACAAAGAAGAGGTCTTTAGTAGTGACAGTGAGGATGAAGAAGATGAGGAAGGTAGCCAGGGAAGTAAGCTCGAGGCGAAGAAGAAAGGATGGTTTTCATCTATGTTCCAGAGGTAAACTTCTTTATTTCATGCATGTTCTACGTTCATAACCTCATCTTCAGTGACCGGTTTACTAGCAATGTAAGAAAAAAGAAAAAAAAAAAGTTATGGATTATGGTAAACTTACACTCTTTAGTTTCTTGAGCTTGGGTTCATGCATGTTCTACATTCATAACCTCATCTTCGGTGACCGGTTTACTAACATTGTAAAAAAAAAAAAAAGTTGTGGATTATGGTTAACTTGCACTCTTTAGTTTCTTGAGCTTGGGTTTATGCAGTACGTCAATCATGTTATCTGACCTTTAAATTCTCAAACACATCAATTTGACATTTTTTTCATCCACAATTTTTGTTTCTGCTTTATTTTCCCCATATTTCAGATTTCTTCATTGTTGGTATGTGTTCAAAATGGTACTAATCTCCTCTCCTTCGCTCTCCAGTGTGAAAACATTAAGCTTTAAATACATTTGTTATCTGCACACTTTCATACATTTGAGCAGGATGATCACATCTGGGTTTTGTTGTCGAGTATAAAACTTGTCCCTTACGTTTCTTAGTGTACCAACAGGTCTTTGATACTGTCTTTAAGTAACAAAAGTGAGTCATATCGTATCGAAACTCTTTTGCAATCTTGATTACAAAATAAACTTATGTGTATGGATTATTTGGAATTTTAGAGATACAAGTGGGGCCTGGGGAGTGTATCTTATTAGTTTGTGTCATAGAGCAAGTGAGAGCTATCATAAATTGACACAACCAGAAATTTCATTTGTGATTACCTTGGCATGTTACTTTAATATGGGATTATTAATCTAAATTTCTTTTTATTTTTGGTGCTTTTATGTTCCCAGTATTTCAGGCAAGGCAAGTTTGGATAAGGCAGATCTGGAACCAGCTCTGAAAGCTCTCAAGGACAGGCTTATGACAAAGAATGTGGTATGTTTTTGCACCATATTTATCTTATCATCCCTTATTTTTAACTGTTGGCTGCAAATTTACAAGATATTTGCTTGTTGGATTTTAGGCTGAGGAGATAGCTGAGAAACTTTGTGAATCGGTAGCGGCTAGTCTTGAGGGAAAAAAGCTAGCTTCTTTCACCAGGATTTCGTCAACGGTGCAGGTACTTCGAATAGCTACTTAGTCACACTCCATTCTTTTTCCTCACCTACTTCATTTATTATTTAATTTTGTTAGTGATCGAAAACTTTGCTTTAATTTCTCATTGCAGAACGCAATGGAAGAAGCGCTCGTCCGTATTCTGACTCCAAGACGTTCCATTGACATTCTGAGGGATGTGCATACTGCACAAGAACAAAAGAAGCCTTATGTGGTCGTTTTTGTTGGTGTCAACGGAGTTGGAAAATCTACTAATCTTGCCAAGGTCAGGCCACCTTCTGCTGAAGTTCGTTCCGTTCGACCTATCTTTTGATTCGAGAGATAAATGCGTAAACTTTTGTGTACAGGTGGCTTATTGGCTTCTTCAGCATAAAGTTAGTGTCATGATGGCCGCTTGTGATACATTTAGATCCGGAGCCGTTGAGCAGCTTAGAACTCATGCTCGTAGACTTCAGGTATGGGATGATTATTTGATTAACCATGAAATTGTTTATCAGAACTCAGTCGCCTATATTTATCCTCGATCATTATTTTCAGATCCCTATATTCGAGAAGGGCTACGAGAAAGATCCTGCAATTGTGGCTAAAGAAGCAATCCAAGAGGCATCCCGCAATGGATCTGAGGTCGTTCTTGTTGACACAGCTGGGAGAATGCAGGTTTGTAACCTTTTCTTATTTATCCAAAATTGAAGTGATTGTGAATCTCTTGCTCCTCCGGGCTCCCGGCGCTCTCGTGGTTTGCGGGAAGGAAAAAGGACTCATCCTTTGTTGCATCTAGCACGAGTTGATAAAGAGAGAGCTTCGTCTGTCGTATATTTCATATCATGTCCTAAATTAAAAACAAAAGAACAAAAATAGAAGTGATTGTATTCTTAGTTTCAAAATTAGCTCCTCGTCATTCATATCCAAACATGTTGCAACTCCCAGGATAATGAACCACTCATGAGAGCTCTTTCAAAGCTTATCAACCTTAACAGTCCAGATCTAGTCTTGTTCGTCGGGGAGGCCCTCGTTGGGAATGATGCTGTCGATCAACTTTCAAAGTTCAATCAGGTTTCGTGTCTCTATCCATGGATCGGCTATAAGTTTGTTTACCTATGAGTTGTTTAGATGAGCTCTAATGCTTGCTTGCTCTTGTGTTCTTCGTTACTGCAGAAACTAGCTGACCTCTCTACTTCACCCAATCCTAGACTGATCGACGGTATCTTGCTCACAAAATTCGATACAATTGATGACAAGGTAAATAAATTTAGCACATTCCTAGTTATTATGAGAGCCTCATCAATCATTTTTCGGGTAATCTAACGCATCTTGGTTACTTACAACTTGCAGGTTGGAGCAGCATTGTCCATGGTTTACATATCTGGAGCACCAGTTATGTTTGTCGGCTGTGGACAGTCATATACCGACCTCAAGAAACTCAATGTCAAATCGATCGTCAAAACGCTTATTAAATAAGAGCTAAGCCACACAGTCGTGTACCAACCTCAAGAAACTAAATGTCAAACCGATCGCCAAAATGCTTAGCAAACGAGTGCTCTTTACAGTACAAAGTTTGGGAGGCCATGGCGTTGGGTAGATGTATTAAATGGTGAAATGTTGTGCTTGTGTTTGTTTGCCCCCTATGACCATCCTTTTGCTATATGCTTAACTTAATTTTAAGTGTATGCACTCAGTAGGTGTAATGTTATCCTTTAGTTTGTTGGATTGTTGATTTCTTTGGCCTCTCTTCTTGTGTATTTGAGGTCATTGTTATTATTATTTTTGCTATTTTAATTCTTCGTACACCCCAAATAAGGAGAAGTACATGAATGAACCGAGACCTCTTTCAAATAAGTAAGAAAAACTTCAACGAAACGAAAGTTACTCCTACCTCATTTAGAAGCGAGAAGTAAGCAACCTGACCATGACACACAGTGTATCTTAATACCGGGACACATGAACAAAGTATTACCATAAACATATTTTTTTCCCTATTAATAGTTTTTCAAGGCTATAAATGGTTGTAATACCTATGCCAAGAAATTTGATCAAACCTCAAATTTTGGATTTGGCATTTGTGTGTCTGGATATTTTCGGGTATCTCTTGCGACTAGTTAGGGTGCTTACTTTTAACTTCAAAATATTCGCAATGAGGTCGGAGTTTAAGCAATAAAATTAATGAATTTAATTTAATCAATATTATATACAAATATCTTAAATAAATATATAGAAAATAATAAAACCTTTTTCAATGATATTTACCATGTGAGTCTAATTTTAATTTTAAGTCTAATTTTATTAAAAGGTCTAATAACATTGCCATTACTCAAATCACATACCATTTAGGAAGTTAAATGTTTGGATTCTCATCTCCATGTGTATTATTGAATTAAAGAAAAAAAAGTAAAGATCTATTATGAATATTTTAATTATAGATACTCATAATTACCGGATGATGAATGTGATTCCTATTTAGTTCCTAAATTTGAACTAGTTTCTAATTAACCTGAATAAGTAGTTTTATATCTTTTACCCGTTTTTCTTTCCGAATGAGTGATGTTATGTCTGTTACCTGTTCTTCCTTTCGAATAAGTAGTGCTATGTCGATTACTTGTTTTTCTTCTCAAGTTCAGTTGGGAGTGATGATTCAAATAAATGAAAGTAATCTTTTCAACACTTGGAAGTTCATAATAGAAAATGTGCATTAGTTAGTGTAGAAGTTTATAATAAAATGCAGCTAAACATGTAAAGTTACATAAAGATCTTTTAACATCAAATAAATCTTTCTAAAAATTGAGAGTGTGATTATCATGAATCAGTTCAAACCAAAAGCTCAAAATCAAAAGGAAATGAGATCATTGTCTTTTGATGAATCTGGCTTCTTGGGTTCCTGTCCCCGATCAGATGCACTTCCACCTTTCTTCCCAAATATCATCTCATCAAGATCATCCATCATTTCATCACTGCTTCCGCCGCCAGGCCGGCTGCCGGAAGTGGCAGCTTTTCTGACCAGAGCATCTTCTTCCTTGGCGTGACTCGGAGATTCATCAGGTTCCCCAGCAATGGGTATCATGGCAGGTTCTTGTTCACGTGGAGAAGTTGTTGAGGGCTTCTTCAGATCTTCGCACTTTGAAAGGACTTTCTGAATTTCATCATTCACATTCAATGCCTCGAAAAGAAGGGCCTCGTTGTCTTCAGCGGTCTCGATAATTCTTTGGATGGCTGATCGTGATTGGCGACATTGTAGTACGAGTGTCCCGGTCAGATCATCCTGCATAGGGCAAGAAACAACTTAGGAGAAAAATAATCAGGTTTTATGATGTCTCGATATCATGGATTACGATAAAACCTTCCACGAGCAACATAAGGAGAATCCCATGGGTCATAGCCACTCCTTTTTAGGAAACTTAAGCATCAAAGCAAAAATAAGGAGTCCTAAGTCCTAATAAACTAATATACCAAAACATAATCTCTACTTCCAAAGTCCGATTTAACAAAATTTCTCGCAAATCTGATAATCAAAAGACAACGAACATTCCCTAAATCTCACGGTAATGAATATCAAAAGGAACCCAGAAAGTGAATATTATTGGACACGACGCTTTCACGATGATTCTCATTGCAGGATAGTCGAGTTCCAATTCAGATTTTGAAGGAGCCTAATATTATAGTTCTGACCAACTTCAATTTTCAGACACAGTAACCAATCCCTTCATAAGCATGAGCCTCAATAAAAGTTGAAGAGTTGCAAGGTTCAAAGTTCAGGGAGAAAGGGAGGGGGGAAATTGGTAAAATATTGGTTATACAAATGGCAGTTGTAACGGCCCATGCCCTCGCTAGAAGATATTGTCCTCTTTAGGTTTTTCTTTTAGGGCTTTCCCTCAAGGTTTTAAAAACATTTACTATGGAGAAGTTTCCACACCCTTATAAGAGGTGTTTTGTTCTCCTCCCCAATCGATGTAGGATCTCACGGAAATTGAGCACCATCTTAAATAAATCCAATTATTAGGATATGACCATGAAAATGTTCGTGTTTCAGATCAGCTGTGATAGTTCACCGAGTTTTCGATGCCAGACCATGAATAGTTCCAAGCATCCAATTGTATCATATATTGAAACGTTTAAAGCATATGCATATTAAGTGAGAGAGAGAAAACTCAGAACACTATGAAAAGATGCATTACCTCTGAAGTATCCTGAGCGGGTGATGAGGATAACACTGTTGAGAGAAGCTCAATGCTGTTCCTTGCGACGTCAAATGCTTCCTTTGTTTCTTCAGCTGTAAAGGTTTGCACGGGAATATCGTGATGAAACTGTTCGATATGACTGGCTTCTGTCTCCGTAGCGGAAATTGTGCGAGGAGGAGTGAAAATGGGTGCAAGACTCTCATTGTCCCGACCAGGGAATCGAATACCTCTTGATTTTAAACTCTGATAAATGCAAACATAAGAAACTGTAATAACTAATAAAATTCTCTCAATCCACGGGGAAAGCATCTAAAACAATAACTAGCAAAATAATTTCCAAACTGTTACTCTCCAACTTCTCTAGCAAGACAGAAACTGATAAAAAGTCCAAAATTAGAAAACTTTGTGTTTTCATATCATTAGCTATGACCTATGGGGCATATAAGATTCGAAATGGATGGTTAAGTTTAAATGCTAAACTATCACTGATTGATGATTGGACATCAAAGATCTTGGAAATTATTACTTTAAAAGGCTATGAATATGACAATTAATTTAACTGAAAATTAACATATCTAGAAAGTTTCTCCCTTGAACCATTAGAACAAGAATTTCCTTGTCTAAAGAAACTGCCTTTTAGCATGTGGAAACAATCTTAATTCTGCAGAGAGAATACAAGTTAAATAATCGCAGATTTCAAAAGAAAACAAATTAAGCATTCAAAAACAGATCATTAAAAACCTGATTCACAGTACAACACGTCAAACAGAGCAATGGGTTGCCTTATCCAGTATCCGTCAATGCGCCATAACTAAGGGATAACAAATAACATAAAAGATTTTCCTAACACGAGACCAAGGATTGCCCAAGCCAAAAACTGTAAGCTCAATCTGTCCAACATAAGTTACAGTTGGTGCTTTCCTGTTTGCGGGGCAACTACATGCAATTTGACGAGATAAGCTTACAAATCAGCAGTAGTGAAAAGGACACAATCAAGTTCTTGCACTTAGTAATCCACTTCAAAGGACTAAAAACACGAATTATAGTGAATCAATGGAGTTATGTCTGATGGGTATGCTTAAAAGGAAAGAGGCTTATTTTTGGAGTTTATGATGAGGAAGGTTCGTTTGAAGGCAAGAGAGTTCTTTGCGAATTGCAGGTGTCTTACATCTTGTAATGGATCAGGCTTGCCACTTTCTTCAGGGGTTTCATTTTAGGGGATGGATTGAATGATATCAACTTTTGTTTATTTATTTATTAGGATCCAGGGATCGTCTCATTTATAACTGGTATTTGATATCAAAGAGGAAGGCCACATGTTCATGTCACCTTGGTCCACCTGGGAGAGGGATTTTTCTAAAGCAAAGGAGACTGATGTGGATGTTGCCACTTGAACAAGGGAGTGAGCGTTTCTTCATCGGGTGCAACTGGGTGAATTTGTAAAGAATTCCTCCAAAGATGGACCCACATATACTAAGATCTAAGGCTTGCTCCTTGATGGTGTATAAGAGTAGATTGAGCTTTACAAACCATTCAGCACCTTCTATCCTACGCTTCTCAGCAAAGAACGGCAAGCATTTGTATAAAAAACATCATAAATCAATTTGATCTATCTAAAGGTTGCCAATAAAAGGTGCTGTGAAAATTTTCACGGCATTTACCTCAAATCCCTTACTGGGATATGGTTAGACTTCAAGTTCCAGATCTTATAGAAGACCATAGATATCATGTTCTCATTATCTGCCCTAAACAATATTGCGCACATTGTACACAAGAAGAGGCACTGCCTTTAAACTTAGCTTCACCATTTGATCTACCAAAACAAATATTTATACTTCAAGAAATTAACGACACTTTTAACCTAGAATTTTACGTTCAAATGATTGTTATACTTGAGCAACTCAACCAAATGAAGGATTTACAAGAAAGCCTCCAACTAAGAAAAATTGCATTTGGAGAATAGTTACAAAAAAGTTCTAGAAGCTTTATATATTTTGCAAGATCCCCCTCAACACTACTCTATGGACTTCCCTCAAAAGTAGAGTTAAGAAGTACTAGCTTCCTGGTTTGTGCAGTAGCCAAACCACTCCACGTGCACAACTTTTTTTTACGAATTACGAGAATCCTATTTGTGCAGTCAGTCAAACCACTTCAAGTCAATTAAGATGACATATGCTAAAATACCCTCCATTGCTGATACACAACAAAGAACTGGTTGCCATATCTATTCATTCAAGGGGATAACCAGATGAAAAAAAAAATGATTTCATATATTAATAATTTCAAACCTCCTTTTGGAACAAAAATCCTGTTTTTGGAATACTGTTCTTTAGGGAATTCCACTCTTCAAAAAAATATTGTTTTGGGGACTGGACTCCATACTGGAGCATGAGATTAGAAACCCTGACAATTTAGAATTGTTGAATAAAAATTTACACACAATTCTCAGTTTCCCATTTCAATTTATTTAATTATGGTTGCTTTGGAAACAGTCTATAAGCTTTCTATATAATAAGTTCATAGCATAATGCAATCTTTTCTACTGTCCTACATACTTCATCTGTACCCAAAAACAAAAGAAATTCAAATCCAGACAAAATCAGACCAACCTTAATACTAACACTAAAACCGTCCCTACTCAATCTGAAATACATTTGAAGGAAATACAACAAGCATACATCAGCATGAGAGTAATTATAAAAGCATATGGAAAGAACACACCATGAAGCTACTTCCCTTTTAATTAAATCAAGCCGTTCCTCCCAAGATAAGCTTGTCCCGCATACTTCTTATGTCCAAGCGTTAAACATAGTTTGTTGCCAAGTTACCACAATTTGACTCAAGTTTCTTAAACAATATTGTGACAGTAAATATATGCTTAGTATCTATCATTCCATGAGTAAACTTAGAAAATTTCAACGCCAATTGATGGAAGTTTTCTTTTAAGAAGAAAGAAAGGAGAAAAAAAAATGTCCTTCAGAACTAATAAATCCACTTAGATTATGCCATGGCCCTATATATTTTTCATAACCGAATTCCAGATATTTAGCAAAGAAAGAGAGTACTGAAATATGTGGATACCTTGTACGTTTCTTCATAAACAGGCAAATAACGAAGTTCACCAGTTGATTCCCCCCATGCTTCAATCAACATTAAAGCTTTGTTCCGATTATTGACAACAGTTTGCGGATCATCAATTAGCTTCACCATCTCATCAAGAACTCTCTCCGCTGCCACCTCGGAGAAACACTTCTCACAATTTTTAACACACGTCTCAAGCAGCACCAATGCCAAATACTGGATCCTGGGGCTTTTTACCATTATTCGTTTTTTAATCCCACGAATCAAGTCTATGCTGTTGATTTTTTCAGAATTAACCATGTCACAGATTTCAAGATTCAGGGCCCAATCCGGCTCTTCCAGTGTCTCTGATGTGGCATCTTCAACAAGTTTATCGTCCTGGTTAGGACCTTGAAAGAGTTCCTTCATTTTGAAACTCATAGAACTGACACCTGCACTCATCTTCCGGCTCATCTCTGTCCCACTAATCTTTAGGCGTTCACCCAAGGCACTAACTTTATCCATCAAATTGTCACTCATCTTTGCAACCGAACAAAATCAAGACAAATCCTAAAGAGAGTCCCTGGAAACACAAAACTCTTGAAAAATCAGAAGAAGTTCAGTTAAGAAAAATGTCAAAACAACAACTGCAGCATTAACCCTTCATTTTTGGAGAAAATTGAATCTTTTGTGGAAGTTCAAGAAATTTTTAAGCATTTCTCCTTTCTATATGCATCCCTTTTGAAAATGTGTGAAATTTATCTCCCAAGGTTCTCTTTGAGATTTATTTTCAACATTTCCTATGGACTCAAATCCAGTATCTAGAGCTAATTAATTGGCTTGTATAGCTCATCTCAACAAGGAATTGGATAGAATTCAGTAGAAGTTTTTTTGTAAAACAAAGTTCCTTAAAAAAGAGATTCTTCATCAAAACTTGCTGGAGCTTTCAAAAGTCCAATCCAACTTCTCCTAATTCAATTTGATGTATTAATTTTTTGTTACATTTTAAAGTTCATCATTTGTTATGAGTTTCGTACCCTTTGAGCAAAAGTTGTCTCTCATTTAAAAACAACTGCAGCATTCTATACCTGGAGGAAATTCATGTTAGCAGAACATACAACATGGAATACGTTTCAAATGATTCTCATTTTCTTGGCAAGCATAATAAAGTATACGAGCTAAATCCAAAACTTCGGAGACCCGAATCTAGAAAACCTAGAAGCTAAAAGGTAAGAGAAAACACATCATCCTTTTTTTTATCATTGAAAGTGGCTTAATTATTGCTACAAAAATCTCTTAACCTACCAATATATATCCAAAATTGAAAACCGAACGAAAATTCTTAAAATCTTCGTTTGTAATCTACATCCATGAAACAGAAAACTCTAAACACAAATGAAAATCTTTGCAATTCCTCATAAAGAAAACTAAAAATCTCTCCGTCTCGAAGAAACCAAAAAATTGAAAAGGCATAAAACATAGCATGCACGAGGAGCCATCAAAAACCTACTTCAATCCTCTAAATCCAAACAAATTTTCAACAACCCGTTCAAAAAAAATCACAACAGCCCATTTTCTCAAACGGCAATCGAGTTCCCAACACCGACCGCCAAATTCCCCCAAATTTTATCAAGAAAAAGCCACTAAAACATGAGATTCTCTTCGAGGAATCCCTCACATACCTTTTCCCCAAAACGTTACAGGCTATCAGGAAGAATCAACCGACCGATCAGATCAAATCCCTCAAAAACACATACGATCTCTCGAATAGAACAAATTCTAGAGCAAATAGAAGAAACAATAGAAAAATGTAATGCCCAAAAGAGGAAAATAATGCGTACCCTTGAAGTTTTGGATGAGACGACGTTGCAACGACTCCTCGCAGTACAGCTTTCTTTTTCAGTCTCCCTCGCTGGCGTTGTCAATGGTTCCTGAAACTGTATATATGTATGTATGTATATATATATATCCTTCTCCCGGAGGAATTTGTATCCATTGCGTGTAAAACTAAATATGGAGCAATTCCTATGATTGGTCGGTCGGTCGGTCGGCCAAGTTTATTTGTGCGTAATCAATTATGAATTTGTTAAATTCTATTTTGCATTTGATGTTCAAAATATCTACTTGGACTCCTTTTAGACCTTAGCCTCTAGAGGGGAAGGAATAGAGGATTTTTAATTCATGATATTGTGAATTATATAAGAGATTTGGGACCCACTTGAGCCGGTTGAGAAAAGATGTTCATTTAATTCGTAAGGTTAGGGTCCCACTTTGAACGGATGGAGAAGAGTTGTTCATTTAACTCGTAAGGTCAAGAACCCGTTTTGAACGGGTAGAGAAGAGTTGTTTGTTCGAACTTGTAAGGTTAGGGATCTGCTTTGAACAAATAGAGAAGAGATGTTTGTTTAACTCGTAAGGTCAGGGACCCACTTTAAATGGGTAGAGAAGAGATGTTCGTTTAAGTCGTAAGGTTAGGGACCCACTTCGAACGGGTAGAGAAGAGATGTTCGTTTTAACTCGTAAGATTAGGGACCCACTCTAAATGAGTAGAAAAGAGATATTCATTCAACTCGTAAGGTCAGGGACCACTTTGAACGGGTAGAGAATAGATGTATGTTTAACTCGTAAGGTCAGGGACTCGCTTTAAACGAGTAGAGAAGAGATATCCGTTTAACTCGTAAGGTCAATGACCCACTTTAAACGGGTAGAGAAGAGTTGCTCATTTAACTCGTAAGGTCAGTGACCCACTTTAAACAGGTAGAGAAGAGTTGTTCGTTTAACTTGTAAGGTTAGAGACCCACTTTGAACAGGTAGAGAAGAGATGTTCATTTAACTCGTAAGGTCAGGGAACCACTTTAAACAAGTAGAGGAGAGATGTTCGTTTAAGTCGTAGGGTCAGAGGCCCACTTTAAACGGGTAGAGAAGAGATGTTTGTTTAACTTGTAAGATTAAGGACCTACTCTTAATGAGTAGAAAAGAGATTCATTCAACTCGTAAGGTCAGGGACTCACTTTTAACGGGTAGAGAAGAGATGTACGTTTAATTTGTAAGGTCAGGGACTCACTTTAAACGGGCAGATATGAGAAGTTCATTTAACTCGTAAGGTCAGGGACCCACTTTAAACGAGTAGAGAAGAGATGTTTGTTTAGCTCGTAAGGTCAATGACCCACTTTAAACGGATAGAGAAGAGATGTTTGTTTAACTCGTAAGGTCAGGGACCCACTTTAAACGAGTAAAGAAGAGATGTTCGTTTAACTCGTAAGGTCAATGACCCACTTTAAACGAGTAGAGAAGAGATGTCCATTTAACTCGTAAGGTCAGGGATCCACTTTAAACGGATAGAGAAGAGTTGTTCATTTAACTTGTAAGGTCAGGGACCCGCTTTGAACATGTAGAGAACAAATATTCATTTAACTAGTAAGGTTAGGGATCCTCTCTGAACAGGTAGAGAAGAGATATTCATTTAATAGTAAGGTTAGTGACCCACTCTGAACGTGTAAAGAAGAGATATTCATTCAACTCGTAATGTCAGGGACCCACTTTAAACGGGTAGATAATAAATATTCATTCAGCTCGTAATACCAGGGACCCACTTTTAAATGGGCAGAAATCTTCGTTTCAAAGGAAAATTGAGAAATAAACGGGGAGAAATTACTTTCAGTTTGCTAAATGGGGACATAAATTACATTACCCGTCCCCATCTCCAACCATTCAATTACTTAGAAAATGTCTATAATTACGGGACAAGAAAAACATCTATAACAAAAAAAAAACCATAAAAAAACCAACTATCATAAGGTCATATAAAAGCAGAGACCGGTTATATTTTGCGTGGTATAGTGTATATTTGATCATGAATATAAATGTTTATGTTAAGTTAAGGGTTACACAGTAGAATTGTTGGCTTTTTTCGATAGGGGTGTACATTTAATTCGACAACTCGAACCAACCCAACCCGAACTATAAGGATTAGGTTAGGTTGGGTTGAATTACCATTTCGGGTAGGGTTGGGTTCATTTTTCTAAACTCGAATTGAATCGTTTTAGCTTTGGATTCGTGTATAAAACGTTCGGGTTGACATGAGCCAAATAAAAATATATCAATTATATTAACAATCTTTTCGTATTAATATGTTTGCAGGTACCTCGACCTCTCTAAGAATACCCACGCCAAGGATATATATATTTTTTATTTTTTTATTTTCCCGATGATCTATCCTTATATTTTTCTTAGTTTAACACATTCTCAAGAAATTTCAATATTTAGCTGTTTTAGTTTTATGACAATGTTGAATTATGTTAATATTTTTTTTGAGACCGGTACAACTCAACCTAAAATAAAGGGTTAGGTTGGATTGGGTTGGGTTCTCAATCCAATCAACTAGAACTTGTAGGTTGGGTAAAAAAAAATCTCTCAACCCAACCCGGATCATGTGCACCTCTACTTCTCAATGTATGAGAATTGTACCGAGTCCATTAAACAAAGTGAGCTGTGGAGCATGGTGAGAGGGGACGGTGAACATAATTTTTGTCATCAATTTTATTTAACTAACGAGAAAAAATATGTATTCTTTATTTTTGCGTGATCTCCACAATTAAATAAAATAAGTTCAAAAAAATTGTACAGTTTATTTATTTAATATTTGTTTGAAATTTTCAACATATTTATTTACGCATCTTCAAGAAAAAGAAAAAAGAAAAAAGAAAAAAGAAAAAAAAGAAAACTGTCAGACTGTCAGTCGTTGAGGGGTAATATAGTAATTATGCACTCGAAAAGATGTCAATGATCGTCGACGGCGTCAAAAGAGGCGCCTGTTGATGCTTGTTAGTCCTCTCCTCCGCTCTACGCGTTCGAGCGTTTTCCGAAGATTTAGTTTCGTGGGTTTCTTGTATCCGCCTGAGAATCCATTTTCAATTCTATCTTCCTCTGGGTTGTTTTGATTTAATTTCTCTCTGTTTCTGTCTCTCTCTGTGCGCCATGGACTGAGCTGACGATTTCCTGTTGTGGTTAGTCTTTTTCGTTGACTATCTTAAGAACACGCGCACGCACACGCACACTTGCAATCCAATCTAAGTTACTGGATTGATCAATTGTTTTTTTTTTTTTTTTTTTTTATTTCTAGCCTATCTGTTGTATGGATTGGATGCTGGAGTTTGGAAGTGGGGGGGTTTTGTTTTTGCTTGCTTGACGTGCATGACTTTGTGTAATTGGCTGTTAGAATAGTATCGGATGACATTGGGAGGATCCGGAATTGTGTATGGGCTTTGAATTGATTGAAGGAAGGGAAGTGATGGTGTTTTTGAGGTTTTAGTTTATGTGGAGTGGGTTGATTTTGTTGCTTCTTATTTAGAGTATCAATTGTAATTTTGAGGAAGCCTTGGAGTTGGGTTTTCGAAGAGATTTCTCTCACAGGGTGCGTTGAGAGTCCCATGATTAAGATCTTAGTTCTTTGGTTTTTATGTTTGATAAAAAAAGTCTGAAGGAAGTGATCGGTATGGTAGTGTTTCATCTTCTAGCCTGCAGAATTTATCGATCTAATCGGTTGTAACTAGAAAATTGAAGTGCAATTTGGAAGCAGACCGGTTTGAGTATGGAGCGCTTAGGAAATTGTTGATTAACATCAAATTATATATGTAGATACTTTATTATCCCCATTGGTGTTCTAACGTGCTAAACTCGTGTGGTATATGTTATTAATTTCCAATCTTGTTCTTCACTTTAGTGTGTTGATCATTCTTTGATAACCTGTACCTCAACATACAGGTTTTTGAAAATTGTTGTTTCCTATTGTTTTTGTTCAAAGTATGGTTGCTGGGCTTCTCCAGTAGCCAGTAGACAGTGATTGTTTATTACATTAGTGGCTAATGTGAAAAATATCTAACTTAACATGTTTTTCTGTATGAATTCAGATGCTTATAGAAAATGTTTGATTGTGGTTACAAGTCACAACTGATGGGTGGTCAGCGCGAAAAATTCGTGAGGTAAAGTGGTTCTTATTTTTGTTCTATTTTATTATCTCCCCTAGGTGATGAAGATGGTTAACAGTGTATTCCCTGCAGTCATGTGTAACTTTTGAACCATTTAATAAATCTACAAGTTTGAAATTTAACCCTGTCATAGCTATATAATGTATGATGTTCGTATACAACTTGTAAGATCAATAGGTAACTGTTTCTTCTATAAGCCTGTTAATAACGTGGTATAAGATGCCCCAGTATATAGTATTTTAGCTTACTGTGTTGTGTACCTACATGCCGTGAATGTAGACATCCAAGTCTTCAAAGTACCTTAATGGGGTAGCGTTGGTTATAACCACGATCACAGTTGTCAATATGCCCCAATTGTAGACTATGCTAGACTAACATTTGAGAACTTATTATGGTCCTCATTCTAATCCAGATGAGTTTGTATTCCTCTTAATATTTTTTTAAAAAAAATATTATTATTAATCTTATGTTGGTGGGAATTGGGAACTGGGAAGGGGGATTGAATGTGGAAGTTATCGGTATTGAATAAGTTGATAGTCGGTATGTTGGCTAGTTAAGCTAAGACGAGGAAATTACATTGCGAGAAGGCCCCCTCTCTTTTCCTTGAAATATGTTTTCTTTAAAACCATGGTACTTGAGAAGTGTATAAACCAAGATTTCAAATCAGGGAATATTCCTTTAGATTTATGAACCATTTAAATCATCAGATATGGAAAATTGAAAAGTCATATTTTTTTTTTTTAGTATTCTTGTATTCCTTATTTGCACTTAAACTTTATTCATTGAAATTGAAGTTACATTTTGCTAATATTCAAATTAAGCCATTTGCATATTGCCTCATACACTCTCATAGTTTTAATGCTTGGTTTTCTATAATGAACTTTCATTCTATATTTTAATTATTGATCTTATTATTTACTTTTACGTGGAGATTAGATATGTACCTCGCACATAGGTTCCTCGTTTAGCATCTTTACTTTCAAAGTTTATTTGAAAAAAAGATTGTTTATTATTTTTTTGGGGCAATTTTGCTCGGTGGAGATTTTTTTTTTGCATCTTTTCTTTTTATGTACTTTTTTTTATAAGAAGGGAATGTATTTAATCTGATATTATTCATATAAACTTCTTGACATTGGACTTAAGCAGCCCAATGATAGAATCAAATCAGTACCATATATCGAATCTAGAAAAGTATTTAAAGCACTAAGCTTGTCATTTGTTTAATTATTTAAAGTCTATTTTAACATATGAACAAGTTTGGCTTCTAGAGTTAAAATTCCACAGCTACTTCATAATGCTAATTAAGTTTCACCTTTTTATTATATGCAGCTCGTGTGTAAGTTTTTTAAGCCAAGAAACCAACTTTTCATTAACATTTGAAAAGTAAAGGATGATTGAATACATTTTCTGGATACTACATTCTAAGTTTTAAATCTTAAGTGCTTATTCGTTCTGATTATTTACTTCTAGGTTGGATGACTTGGACTCTAGATTGTCATCGCCTTCTGATAGTGGGATAAGAAGATGTGGTTTGAATATAGATGGATTTAACCGTGCAGTCCATGGAAATGATAAGCCATCTGGATCCTTTAAGAGAGGAATGAGAAAAGGGTCCGAAGGACTTAAATCAATTGGTCGATCACTCAAGTTTGGAGTATCTCGAGCTGTATTTCCAGAGGATCTTAAAGAGTCAAAGAAGAAGATCTTTGATCCTCAAGACAAATTGCTCTTATTCTTGAATAAACTTTTTGTCATATCATGTTTTTTAGCAATATCGGTGGACCCGCTATTCTTTTATGTTCCTGTCATTAACCAACAGTCGAGCTGTCTTGGCATTGATAGGAAGCTGGCAATTACAGTGACAACATTGCGAACAGTTATTGATGTTTTCTATCTTATTCATATGGCTCTCCAATTCCGGACAGCTTATATTGCTCCATCATCTCGGGTGTTTGGGAGAGGTGAACTTGTGATTGATCCTGCACAAATAGCTAAAAGATACTTGCGGCGGTATTTCATCATTGATTTGGTGTCTGTGCTGCCCCTTCCACAGGTTTGTTAGTTTTTACATTCTATATGCATTTCTATCCATTTCCAAGGTTTTTTTTTTGCATAATTAATTTAAACTTCCCACCTTATCAATCATCATTCATATGTTGCATTGGCAAATGCTATTCACTAAAATGTTGCATTATCAAAGGCTTTGTTGCCTTTTGTTTATTTATTTCTTATTTTTTTGGGACCCTTATATAATTACTTGTGCATTTCCCTTAGGAAATGAACTACATATACCAAAGTAAATCTAGAAATCTAAAGAGATCAAATGTGCCTCCAATCAATGGGAGTTGAGGGAAAAAGTTCCAAAATCAGGGGAAACAGTAGCCAGCTAACTCTGTTCTAGGTTTCATTTCTTCCATGTTTTCTAGAAAGTGCATATTCATTTTTTATTACCTATTATTGCTAGGCCTTAAGCCATGGTCCCAAAAAAAGAAATAATGGCATCAATCCACCCTGAATTCTTTTACTAACCTCATCTATAGACTTCTAGCCATTAGGCAATAAAGAAAAGGTCCAACGAAAAGTCATCTCAATCTACTAAGATCTACTAAGTCTTTGTCTTTGAGAGGCCTGTTGAAATATCATCCCTTAATTGTTGAACACAACTCTTTGTGGGAACACTCACACTCTTTATTAACACCAATCGAGAATAGATACAAGTCATGCTGTAGAAACTACTGCACACTGTAGAAACCACAACTCTTTGTGGGAACGCTCACACTCTTTATTAACACCAATTGAGAATAGATTACAAGGCACGCTGTAGAAACTACCGCACGCTGTAGAAACTACCGCACGCTGTAGAAACTACCGCACACTGTAGAAACTACCGCACGCTGTAGAAACTACTGCTTTTTGTACTTTGTATTTCTCGGGATGATAACCTAGGTAGGGTGGAGGAGTATTTATAGCAGCTCGACAATTTATTTTCCTAAAATTTCTCAACATTTTTCCTAAAATATCTAAATCTTGTTCCTAAAATATTTAGATATCTTTATTCCTAAAATGCCTAAATTATTTTCATAAAATATCTAGATATCTTTGTTCCTAAAGTACCTAAAATATCTAGATATCTTTGTTCCTAAAGTACCTAAATCATTTTCCTAAAATAAATATTAGGGGCTTACACAGTTATTGGGTTTGATTCTATTGGGCTAGTGATGAATATTTTAACACTCCCCCTCAGCACTAGTCCTCATTCGCTGCACCACGTTGAGCTGACAACGAAAACTCTCATGTTTGCTAGTATTAAGCTCTTTTGTAAACAAGTCTGCCACTTGGTCATCTGTCTTAATCTACTACATCTCGATGTCTTCTAGGACTTTCTCTCTAATGAAATGGTAGTGCACCTCCACATGCTTTGTTCTAGCATGAAACACCGTATTTTTTGCTGACCGAATCGCAGATTGGTTGTCACAATGAAGTGGTATTGGAAACATTCATCAAGACTTTTAGCCATGTACTTTCCTGAGCTGCTCCAGCCGCTACTCTGTACTCTGCTTCTCTAGTTGACAATGATATTGTTGGTTGTCTTTTGCTACACCAAGAAATTGTTCTCGAGTCGAGTTTGAACACATACATATCGTGATATCTGGCATGGTTAGTATCACGGTATCCAATTAGCTTGCAGTCTGCACTTCTTTTGTACAAACGATTATAATTGATTGTACCTTTGAAATATCTCAAGGTCCGTCGAGCCGCATCCAAATGAAGTTTTTTTTGCATTTTGCATGTATTGACTAAGGACTCCAACTCCATTTTCAAATCCATTTGGTTAATTCATGTAGATCTCCCGATCCAACTCTCCATGCAATAAAACATTCTTCATATCTTTGTGCCATAATTTTCGATCTTTATTTACCACAAGTGCTAGAGGAACTTGTACAATAATGATCTTTGCCACTGGACTAAACGTTTCATCACAATCTAGGCCATATTGTTGAAAGAACCATGGAGCTACCGTCTGAGCCTTATAACTCACGATTGATTCATCTGGGGTACACTTTATTTTGTAAATCCATTTGCAAAAGATGGATTTGACATCTCCTAGTCTTTGTACTAATTCCCAGGTTTGATTATGCTCAAAGGGTATAATTTCTTCCTCCATTGCCTGCTGCCAAGCCATATTGTGTGATGCTTCTTCATACGTCTCTGACTCTTTAACTGACTTCTGGATTCTTTCTGACTGTCTGAGTTGTTGAGGTGTCATTTCCTTTTCACCGAGTTCACTTGATTGTGTCATTTCTTGCTTGTCAACATTAGTGCTACGGATCTCCAGTCTCATCAGCACTTAAGCAATGTTGTCAAAGCCTGGTAATACTTCCTCTCTGAGGGCCATCCTACTTCTATTGCACCACTTTGATCATCAAACATGTGGTTTGAGCATCCTGAATCATTGATCCATTCCTCATCGTAATCAATTTGCTCTCCCATCATTGCCGAGCAGTAGCACGTCATCTTCTATGACACATATTGCCTCTCATTCCATTCCTCCATCTCCATGTTGGAGGATGCCACATTTCTTTCGACAGACTTTTTCCTGGACCAACAATCCCTGGACTTGTGACTCTTTTTCCTGCAATTGTAGCAAATACCTCCAAATCTCTTCACTTGAGAGCTTTTGTTGTCGTTCTTCTGAACTCTCCTTGGTTGTGCAGTTCCTTGATGGCTTATTCTTTTGTCACCATTTTTGTATCAACATTTGGTAGACGACTTATTGTTGCTCCAAACTTCACTTGTGTTGAGTGCTTCTTCTTCACCCTTCATTGTGATGCCTCCCATTTGTTTAGCCATGGCTTCTTGGTTGGCTAACAAATTTTCAATGTGATGCCTCCCATTCCCGCAATTGTAGCAAATACCTCCAAATCTCTTCACTTGAGAGCTATTGTTGTCGTTCTTCTGATCTCTCATTGGTTGTGCAGGAACAGTTCCTTGATGGCTTCTTCTTTTGTCACAATTTTTGTATCAACGTTTGGTAGACGACTTATTGTTGCTCCGAATTTCACTTGTGTAAAGTGCTTCTTCTTCACCCTTCAATGTGATGACTCCCATTTGTTTAGCCATGACTTCTTGGCTGGCTAACAAATTTTCAAACTCTACAAGTGATTGTTGAGCGGCCCGTTCTTGTACAGCAATAACGAAGCTTCTATATTCTGATCGCAATCCGTGGATAATGATCCTCTTCATTCGAGCTTCTCCAATGACGGACTTTGGGTCTAGTTTAGTAATCTCTCGACAAATCGACTTGACTTTGTGGAAGTACTGAGCAATCGTCATGTCACGTTGTGAAATTGATAATAGCTCGTTTTCTAGAAGTTGTAGCCTAGTATCGTTCTTCTTTGAGAACAGTATCACGAACATGTCTTATGCTTCTTTCGGTGTCTTGTCATTCCAAATGTGCTCTAACATCTCTTCTCCGGTTGTGGTCTTCAAGGCAAACATTGCTTTGCCTGCTTTGATTCTCCATTTGCGCAAGGTGCTATTAGAATCCTCCTTTGGCGGCGTAGTTTCACTCCCACCAACGATCTCCCAAAGGTCATGTTCTTGTAAATAAAACATCATGCATGTTGCCCACGTGTTGTAGTTGTTGTTGTTGTTGAGTTTCTTGATTCCTCCAACAATTTGGAAATCACCCATCGTGTTGGCTATACCTCAAGTAATACCAAACAAGCTCTTTCGACACAAAATTTACAGAGTCACAGACTACTCACGATAGTAGAAACTCACTCACTAATAATCTTAAGAAATCGTTTTTGATATGGAAGATCAGACAGAGCTACAACCACAGAGCATACTAAAAATTCCAAGAGATCAAACAACCTACACTAACCTCGCTTTGATACCAGATTGTTGAATACAACTCTTTGTGGGGAACACTCGCACTCTTTATTAACACCAATTGAGAAGAGATTACAAGACACTCTGTAGAAACTATTGAACCTACACTAACCTCGCTCTGATACACTAACCTACACTTGCACTCTTTATTAGCCCAATATGGTTAAACCCAATAATTGTATGTGTCAATTGTATATTTATTGTAGGAAAAAGATTTAGGTATTTTAAGAATAAAAGATATCTAAATATTTTAGGAAAAAAGATGTAGACATTTTAGGAAAAAGGTTGAGAAACTTTAGGAATAAATTGTCTAGCTTCTACTATGAATACCTACACCCTACCTAGGTTTTCATCCCAAGAAATACAAAGCACATAGTGCAGTAGTATTCTACAGAGTGTCTTGTAATCTCTTATTGATTGGTCTTAATAAAGAGTGCGAGTATTTTCCGCAAAAGAGTTGTGTTCAATAATCTGGTATTAGAACGAGGGTGTAAGTTGTCTGATCTCTTGGAATTCTTAGTATATTATGTGGTTGCAGTGCTGTCTGATCTTCACATCATAAACGATTTCTTGAGATTATTAGTGAGTGAGTTTCTTTGTGTCGTGAGTAGTCTGTGACTCTGTAAATTTTGTGTTGAAAAGGTTTGTTTGGTATTACTGTGAGGTATTGCCAACACGATTGGTGATTTTTAAATCGTTGGAGGAATCAAGAAACTCAACAACTACAACACGTGGGCAACATGCATGATGTCTTATTTACAAGGACACGATCTTTGGAAGGTCGTTGGCGGGAGTGAAACTATGCTGCCATAGGAGGATTCTAACGACGCCTTGCGCAAATGGAGAATCAAAGCAGACGAAGCAATGTTTGCCTTGAAGACCACAATCGGAGCAGAGATGTTAGAGCATATTTGGGATGACAAGACACCGAAAAGAAGCATGAGACACATTTGTGATGTTCTCGAAGAAGAACGATACGAGGTTACAACTTCTGGAGAATGAGCTGTTATCAATTTCACAATTGTGACATGACAATTGCTCAGTACATCCACAAAGTCAAGTTGATTTGTCGGGAGATTATTGAACTAGACCGAAGTCCGCCATTGGAGAAGCTCGAATGAGGAGGATCATTATCCACGGATTGCAACCAGAATATAG